AGCCAACAAGGTAGATATACTTTCCCAGCGTGATGAAATCGCCGAGAAAGGATGGAGATGTGATGCCGAAGGCGAGAGACTTCGGCCTCTAGGGCAAAGTTCTTCTCGACAGCACGAGACAGAACCACCAACGAACGTAAAGCGGACGTGGCAGAGGAGACGGAGGCTCGCTTAGCCATTGCGACTGTAAGGAGGCGACTATAGTGAACAACTGAAAGGATAGGTAGAAGGAAGAAAAGACTTCCAGCAAACGTAGGAGGAAGTATAACAATGAAGCCCACGAAAGATGTTCGAAGTTAAAGACTTGAAGCCTATCATGAGATAGAAATCAAGGACTCTGATTGGATCGACACCGAACCTTCACTACCGACACAGGGTGAAAGAAGTAGGAAAAGTACTTAGAACAAAGCATGAAGAACCTATCCTCCTCAACTGTATCGGCCTCCTTATATAGTATTCTTCCCACTCATAGTCATGTGATCCAAAGTGGTCACATGTGCAAAACCAAATCATAACAAACTAGTCATGTGACCAAAGTCAAAACCCATGACCTCATAGTAAGGTCATGTGCTAAAACTCATAAACCAATCATAATGCAATAAACAAGTCATATAACTCGACTGAGTAATATGTGTGAAACCTTTTCTTTTTTTTTTTTCTTTTTTTTTTATAATCATGTATTCATTGTTTAGGTACAAGAACTCGCATGCAGCGGTAGCTATGGCATAAACAAAACCTTAATCCCAAAGCCAACAAAACAAAGGAAACTAAACTATTGCCTCCAATAAGCGCGAACAACCCATATCGCAAGGCACATAAACAGCTAACTATAATGGGAAACATTCAAACTAAACATAAAGAAATCCTACAAGCAAGGAAACTAAAGGAGTATTTTTCCACCAAACGACTTAGTCCGAGGGCGAGGAAACAAGTGAGGGAATGGGGCTCTCGACTAGTTGAGCACCGGAGGAGTGGTATATAATTGCAGGCATGTCCGGGGGAAAGCCAACCGAGGTGGTGGCTATGTAGGTGGATAGGCCGTGAAGCAGTTCAGGCGATGTCCAGATAGGTTCCCCTTCATCAATGTACTCGACTCCCGGGAGGTGAGTCTCTCTGGCTCTTTTATGTGATGGGCATTCGAGAATGAAGTGGTGGAAGGATTCGGGTTCCTCCTCACAGTAGGGACACGTGTCGAGGGCGTCCGGGTCTCTCCATGATCAGTGGCTGGCCAGGTAGCTCTTTCCTGACCTCATCTGATGGATCCTGCCCACTATAAATTTCTCCAATCCCATGAAGGGGTGAGGCGACAGAGTGGGCGAGTAGATGTATCTGGGGGGGGGTGGGTATTGTTTGATCCCAGCATTTAGGAGGAACTGATGACATCCTTTCTCAAGGGTTGAAAAGGGAGGATTGTCAGGTGCCGTAGGGGACAAGGGCTCAGGGAGGAGGGCATGTGACGCTAGTGGGATCCTAGCAAGATGACCAACAAGCTTACCCACATGGTGGGCTATTGCGTCAAGTGGGAGATGCCTCCTTACCGGCGGGGATGGCGCGGGGGTTTTCCAACTCAGGGGCCTATAGCCCAGTGAGATCCCTACTGTCAAGGCGCGGTGGTCCTCTGGGGAGCAGTAGCAAGAGGTTGTAGGGAAGGAGCAGTGCAGCCGAGCAGTTGCCTGGTTTCTTTCCGGGGGGAGGCACACCATCCTCAGCGCTGCCAGGTGCTGTCGGTGTTCAATAGGCCTTGTATCGGGGGGAGGGCCGACTCGCAGGGGAGGATACCAGTGGGGGTTTCAGAGAAACAGTTGGTGACCCAGCGTTGAACCTGTCTCCAAAAGACAGCAAGCCTGTCGGTCATTATTGCAGAGGGTGAGAAGAGATCTGCTCCGAAAAGGAGTATGGGTGCGAGGAGGGATGACGCTAGCCTATGGCAGAGGAAGGGCGCTAGCCCCTTCCCTGGGCCCGATAGCTTCTTAAGCATGGAGAAGGCACCCTGGGCAAGTGCTAAACGTTTCGAGAAGTGAGTGCTATTTGCCTACCAGAGAGAACAAGAGGCCGGCTCAAACCAGTGGCCGAGCCAACGGACCACCCCGGAGGGGCAGAACAGGAGGCCATCAATGACTATTGGGAGAGTGGATGTGAGGTCCCTTTGTCTGGGCGTCCTCCAGTACATGAGTTCAGTTTTGGGTACGGAGAAGGAGACCTAAAGATGCCTGCCCCTTTGAGTCAACATTTTGACCAGGTGTTGGAGGCGTTGCATATTCCTCCCATAGGAGTTGGAGGCAATAGTTACCACGAAGTTGTCCACATAAGATAGGATTAACCCACGCGGTACCGGAAAGTGGAGGGACAAGACATAGATGACAAACAGAAGAGATGAAATGGGTGAGCCTTGCGGAGTGCCAACCTGAACTGGTTTGAAGACTCTGGGCGATCCCTGAAAAACGAGACGGCATTGCCTTCCTGTCAAGAAGGACCTAACCCAGGAGCAGAGGTATGGAGGTATGCCCTTTGAGCGCAGCATATGAAAGAGGTCATTAGGAGAGACATTATCAAAGCCTCCCTTGATATCAAGGAACAAGGTAGACGTAACCAGCAGGGGCCTTTGCAGAGTTTGAACTTCGTGAACCAGAGTCGCACAGGCATCGAAAGTGCTGAGCCCTGGAAGGGAGCCGCATTGATGTAGGTGTAGCAGACCTAACGACCTAGCCAATGGTGAGAGGCGATTTGCTATTATCCTCTCCAGGATCTTGGAGACTGTTTGAAGGAGGACAATTATTCTGAAGGAAGCAGGTATGTCATAAGAGGGTTTGCCTGGTTTGTCTAGGACCACTCCGTTCGCCATCTTGAGCGACGCTGAGTGGAATCCGAAACAGACTAGCGGAGAGAGTAGCTTAACAAGCAGGGAGGGATGGGCTATATTAACCTTCTTCCAGACTGAGTATGTGAAAAAGTCGGGACCGGGTGCCGAGGAGGAAGAGGACTTTTCGAGTGCCGGAGCTATCTCTTCCGCCAGTAGGGGGGGTGCATCTTTGAAGGCCCTGAGAATAGGCGGGCAGAACGCTGGGGGCCTAGGAGGGAAAAAGTGAGAAAGTAGGGCGTCATTCAGTTCCATGGGTGACGTTGCTTGTGGGAGGGATGGGAACCGCTCTGGGGGTTTTCCGAAGGCGAATCTCTTGGCTGTCCATACGTTTTGGGGGGTAGCACTCTCAAGGAAGCGTGACCAGTGCTCTTTCTTAGCCTTCTTGATAGCCTTAAAATAGGCATTTTTGGCCAAGCGAGTAGAGGCTCGAGTGTTATCGGAAGGGGATGTACGTGCTTCTCGGGTATGGGAATGGTGGACTTTCCTCAACTCAGACAAGGTATTGGACTACCAAGGTTTTGACCTTATTGAGGGTTTTTTCATTGGCGTATGTCTGGCGAGGACTAAGCGTATCCTGCCAAGGTTGATGTCGAGCCACGTGCTAAGTGCCTGCTGAGTTGAAAGGGGTGGAGGTGGCGTAATCGTGAGGGAGCCAAGGTCCTCCATGACCTTGGTCCAGTCGGTAGCCTTCCAGTGCAGCGTGAGCTGGGGGGGAGGACATATGCGTGAAACCCATGACCTCATAACGAGGTCATATGCAAAACATAAATCATATGTGCAAGGCATACTCACAAGGTACACTCGCAAGGCATACTCGCCAGGTGCATGTCTCATAACTCATAATCGAGTCATGTGCGAAACATAACAAATCATAATATTATAAGTCATATGACCCAAATGAGTCATATGCATGAAACAATAACATACCTATGACTCATAATCATGAGTCATGTGAAAACCTTTTTCATGCCAAGCCACGTTCATGACAGTTGGGCTGTTTATTGAAGACAAGACTACTTTTATCAGTCTTGTAAATATCTTCAGAACTAAATCTTGAGAGCTATTCTGCTAAAGAGGTACAATCACTAGGAATCTCTCCATAATCAACCTCTCCAGAGTGTTGATGCCAAATAAGTCTTCCCATCTGAAACTGTGATTTAAACTGGTAAAGCCAGCCTGAAGAAACATCAAAGTACTCATAGTTCTCACCTACTCCTCACTCAGCAAGCTACTCTATTATCACCTTCAATTGAGTATGAATAATTTCATTTGTTACTAATACTAAAGAAATTTCTGCTACATCAATCGAAATTGATAATAGGTACTCTAGGATTGCAAAACAAGAAGCACAATTATTTTGCTTGTTGGCGCTGAGACCTACTAATGTTATTTACTATCCTTAACAAACTTCACAACTATAAGAAACTGTGCTCGGGAGAGATGAAATACTAAAGCAAACTTGACTATCAAATAATCATATAGCAGAGAGTAAATCTCACCAGTTGGAGGGCCCTCAGCAACATTTTTTTCCCAATTCTTTAAGTGATCAGAGAGACTTTGGATTGCCATATATCCTCCATCTGGTCAACAGAAACATTCTTCTAGTCCAGCGAAGCTGGAAAGCTTCAATTTCAAATACTTTGGTGTAGACAACAGAGTTCATATTTCTGCAGCGGGGTTAAATTGAGCTTCTGTGGTGTTTTCCACTTTTTACTGCTGTACCCAAGCTTTGCCGGAGGCATCTGGTAGGCTCTGAGCTGAGTTGATTGTTTATTGTAAAATGCTTTTTCTCGAGTTGAGCATTTGTGATAAAATCCCTTCTCTTTGAGTTCAGTATTGTAAGGTTTTTTTAAATTCTCCTCTTCAACTCAGCTCTCTAGATATTTATTTTCAAATCTGCCCTCATTTAAACCTTTTATGGAATAGTTTAAAGACATGTTAACACAATTCTCACTCACTTTTCATCTTTTTCACGGACCATTTTCATCCATGATTTCACTCTCTCGGATGTTTCATTGTTCAGGAGTTGGCCCTCCGGGACAACGGGGTGCGACTGTACGATACTACCGGTACAGTACCCGTACAAGTAAATTTACCAACCCCACAAGTTGCCCGCACCCCGTCAGCGCTCCAATCCCAAAAGCCACATCCACCGCAACGCTATGATACCACCACCACCACCAAAGCCATCATAACCCCCCATCTCCCCCAATCATGTCCTGGAAAACCCCCTTCCTAATATCCCTCCAGTCCCGCGACATCCGCGAAAAATCCCACGACAATTTCATCAGTGCCTACACCCGCCTGGCGAACCGAACTTCCAACCCCACCACTACCTCCGATACCTCCGACCCGACCAATCCCCCACCCCCGGACCAGCAACTGATAACCGACCTCCTTGCAGCGCAGACTTCAAAAGGGCTATTGCAATCACAACTTGCCGCCGCCCAAGCTGAGGTCGTGTCGTTGCAGGCGCAGATTAAAGCCCTCGAGAAAGTGGCCAGGGAGAAGGAAAGGTTGGAAAGAAAGAACGTGGATCTAGAGAGTGAGGGGCGAGATAAGAGCCGGGTTATACAGGTTTTCTTCCCCCTTGTTTTGGCCACGATGTTTTGGTGTGGGGAATGGGAGTGGGCTGATTGTACCTGTGATGGACAGAATTTACAAGACGAGATGTTGACATTGACCATGGAATTAAATGTCCTGGCGGATAAAGAGCAAGCTACAAGAAAGGAGAACGAAGATCTGGTACAGCGGTGGATGGACTTTGCGGAGACCCGGGCGGAGGTTATGAATCGTGCTTCTAATTGGGAATAACAATCACGATCAACCTTACTGCATAACCTTTTACACACTAACAGCATCCCCATTCATTCCCTCATTCTGTCATTCCCGCCTTCACAGCGACTAAATTGTTGTACAGTATAAAGGCTATTGGCAGATAACGGGCTCGTAAGGGGAGAAGGGAATAATTTGGGTATATTAGCACATCCATTCATATAGGGAATACATTAAAACAACTAAGTTCAACTATCGCCTTCTGCGATCAGAACGATCGGAGGCCAAAAACTCCCGAAGCATACTCCCGTCTACCGTCTGGACGTAATACTTTCCACCGGTATCGGTCCAACTAACCGAGCCCGAAAAGTACTCCTTCTCCTCCACCCTTAGCCGACTGACCGGGTTTTCCGCATTGCGCGTCGTGATAACGTGGTTTATTGGAACGAACGGCTTTAACGATAGGATTCGAGCACCTTCCTTGAGGTCCAGGAAGAGGTTCAAGAGCCGCTGGTTGAGCTCAGAGTCGAATACGTAGTTGTTTACCAGCACTACGTCCGCTCTTTTGAGTGCTTCAGCTATCCGCGCGCTTTCCAAAAAATCGCCCTTCTCCAGTCTGAATTTGCCCGGGTTGATCCCCCACATGCGACACCGTGCCGCAAATTCCACCTTTTGCCTATCGGCCAGTCTCGTTGCATTCTTCATGATTTCGCACCCATATGCTTCGCATCCCGTTTCAAGTGCCGCATGTAGTACAACATTCCCTGTCCCACTACCAAGGTCGACAAACACCTTGCCAAGTCCGAGACCCGATTCCCTAAACAGCTTGGTGGTGAAGTTAGGCAGAAGTTCGCCGTAAACATTGCTAGTGAAAGCTTCGTAGTCTTTTAGCGACTCGACTTCGGGCGCGACAGTCCGAGCATACGCTTGTGACAGAATATGCTCTACAAGAGGGAACGGGAGAGACTTCATCCTGGCGATATTGGCCTTTATGGTGCCATCTCGACGGTATTTCGCTATTAGGTTGTTGTATTTATTAAGGTTCTCGAGAAAGTCTTGGGCTTTTTCGTTGCGAATTGCCTTACGCATGTTGTAAACTATTCCGCCAGAGCTTCCCGACAGAGTGCCCGTGAGTAGTTTGTCAGATTCCGGAGGTGTCAGTAGGTAAGTCGCCACATGCTCCGCTGTGCTAAGAATATCCAGATCGGGTGAAAACTCATCAGGTTCCGCAAGGCGAACAAGTTCGTACCTAAAAGCCGTCAGCCTCGGATTTATACTATCTAGATCTGAAGTTGATATACCTCTCTGGATATGTCACTCCTGGGTATTGAAGCTTAACAGATAATAGCTTCTGGTCCGTTTTCCGGAAAACTAAACACCGCCATTAGTGACAAACCAAGAAAACGCTGTGATTTCCAACTCATACTCCGCGATGGACCCTTCCCTCCTTCTCTAATTCCCATATTTGCAATCATCTCTGCGTGGACAAAATGGCCCTCCTCAGGCTTCCGAGTGGGCGAAGCTTTACGAAAGCTAGCCGGGTTCACCAGCTTCCTCCCGTTACCAACCACAGTATCCTCTTCAGATTTTGTCCGTTTAACAGCTCTCCTTCCCCTCTCCTCATCACCACTCCCCCCCTCCTCCTCCTCCTCCTCGTCACCCGACTCCAAGCGCTGAGACAACGGCGACCTAGATGACGACACAGCTCTTCTGCCCCCCGGCGAGGCCGTCGATTCTGGACTTGGCGGCTTCAACAAATCCGACGACGAGCAAGTCCTCTTAACCGACTTCTCCCCATCCACATGTTTTCTCTTGAGAGAAACGGCCGACGAAGCCCTGCTTCGGGGCCGGGAATCCGGAACCTCCAAAGTTGATCTTCCAGTTTTACTATCCTCCCGAGACTTCTTCTTGGTGATACTGCTGACGGGGCTGGGGCGGTCTGACAGTGGTTTGGGAGCTCGGACGGTTTTGACGACATACTTTTCCTGAGCGATGGGTTTTACGCCTGGCAAGCTGAACTGGGAGAAGAAACTCATCGTGTCAAGATCCCCAACCCACACCGCTTAATAAGAGCAGAACAATAATGAAGACGTTGCTCGGGCAGCCGTGCCCTATTAGTAGACCCAAGGTGGCGGAAGACCCAAACCTAACCCAACCCCAGACTCAGATCAAACCTCCAACACAAAACGTTACCCCCAAGCCTCGAAGAAAAAACGTTGATGAGGAGCTAGATGTCGACGTGGGGGGTTTTGCTATAAACGGTTCAGAGCCACTAGGGTGTTCTCGAAGGGGATTCTCTTTCGATCAAGGAAATACCGGTATTATCCCAAAGAGCGAAGATGAAGAATAAAAAGGGATGAGATGAGGATGATTACAACGGTTTTTTTTCTTCTCTCCCGTCCCCGGCAAATAGTAGGAACACTGTACTGTACGACACAAACAGGCAGCAGTCAAAGAAAGAAGTGTTTGTTTCAGGTTGATTTGAGCTAAAATAAAATGAAAAGCGAAGTTTGACAAAAAAAAAAAAAATAAGAGAAAGGAGGGGGAGGGGATCGCAGTTTAAGGATAAAAGAGATGGAAAGAAGAAAGAGGTAGAGACAGGGTGGAAGAAGGAATTGATGGAAGGCTCAGTAGAAGCTTGGTACGCAGATGGTTCTTCCTTTGGGTCTCTCTCTCCCGTTATTTTTCCCCTGCCATGGAAGCGGATGCAAGCTTTGTCGATGCCAACCGCGCGTGTCTGGCGCCGGGGTAAATTTTTCCCCCTCCCACTATTCCCTCCCAGTGGTCTGTCCCTCATCCAATCCCTTTAGCCTCCATCGAGGGGCGCGCGACCGATATAATAGCACAGCTGCACATCATCGGACAAAATTTACCCTGATACCGTGAAAAAAAAAATCAACAGTTAGGCATAAGCCAGACCCGACTGTGCCCAAACCCGAAGTTCCATACTGCTTCACGCTGGTGTCGAATGAGTAGGAAACAATACAATACCCCCCTAACAAGTGAGCCCCGGGCGTGCCGAGCACTCACCACCAACTGCGCCAAAACAGAAAAATTGTGCTCGACGACAACTTTGAACGAAATCATGCATCATTCAGAGCCCCAGTAGTGACAAGCTCAGGAACATGCTCACATGACTATTCGTAGGCATATGATACCAACCAATCTGTCTCTTGACGGGGGAAGGATGTGTCGGCAAAGCACTAATCAGGATTGCCCGTCATGGCAAAAGACCCTGTTCCCCCTCCTGTGTGCCTGCATCCCTGCCTCATACCCTAGGCCCTGGGCGATCAATCTCACACACGTGACTCACTTTGCCAATGATTGGTTTTGCAGCGTGATGAAGGTGGAAAGGTGTAGAAGTGCTCGTACATGGACCGGAAGCTTCTGGCGGCATTACAACCTAAATCAAGGGTCGTGCTACCGGTAATTGATCCATAAACCTCTTGGAATGTAGAATCTAGAACTCCAAAATAGTTGCCCTGCTACTCGAGTACAGTACTTACTCCTCCCGTCTAGTGGCGCTAATCATGTATCCTAGACCTTTCCATCGCTTGTAAAGCACTCGAGAATCGGTAGCTCATATTAAGGCTTTCCGTGCTAACCACGATTTTATAATCCTCACCGCCTAAGTCTCCCCAGCGGTAAGATAATGTGTCCGGTTGTTCATGTCTGCCAGACCACCAGACCACGTTTCCTCAAATGAAATCGACAGTGCTAGTTAGTCATTATCCCACAAGGACCTTCCTGATTCATTTCTTTCAACCCATTTCTACGACTCCCGCACCAACTTCGACACTCTCATCAGCCATTTGCAATCTATCTATTCTAATTTCCCACTAAGCACCCCACCCCATATGCCCTTTGGCAGTGGCAAGTTTAGGAAGTTTATTGGATATTGTTGTATCCTCTTCAAGGATGCGAAAAGAAGAGAAAACCGGATCGTGAACCAGGCATCGACCGCAGGATACAGTAGCCTCCGAGGACCTTTTGTACCAGATGGGCTGGGGAGAGAACAATTCAATTAGACAAAATCACGGATTACTTGTCTCAACCATGTTCGAATAGCTTGCTAGATCCCCTCACACATATGCGGACTCGCACTTTCATGCCTCCAACGAGAGCCTAACCACCTGAAATCCAAGACTCATCTCTACCCGAGATGGGATCAACCGGTAATACTCAGACTTCCTATCAATTATAATTTCGTGGTCGATTTATCGACGTCCATAGCCACTCCATATCCTGCTTTCGCTCCATATAGTCAATCTGCATCAGATCTTTCAGCATTGCCCCTCCGGGACAGAAGAGATACCAAAACTCAAAGATCTTCTCTCATACTCCTAAAATACCAGTTCCAACTAAAAAAGGTAAAATTATTCAACTAGTTCCTACGGAACTAGCAGGGGCAGGACTAGCCTCTACTCGCACCTGCAGGAAGTTTTTTTGGTTTGGCTAGGAGCACTGTACATGCACAGTTGTAGTTACAGTTAATTATAAGGTAATTTACTAGGATATCTAGTATCCACAGATCGCTAGCGTAAGGTAATAAACACTGACAATGAGCCCTACGGCTCAGGCTCGCAAAGCCTCTTGACTGTGGGCCTTTATTTCTGCCCCGGGGCCTCAGCTCGGTTTTCGGAAGCACAGATTAGTGTAAGATCGAATAAGTTTTGTTTGTTGTTTCTTGCTCTGTTAGCTATCTTGCTTGCATTCCAGTGCCTCCTTTCGCGTAATTGGCCTCTCTTACCGGCGGACAATATCATACCGGTTCTTCCATTTGGTAGTCGTGGGTGTTAGGTTATGGTATTGTAGATGGTAGGTGCCCACAGTTAGGCAGGCAGCCTAGGTAGAGCTCCTTGCGTTAGGCATTCAGTTTGTTACTACCACTGACGGTCAGCCAGTGAGAAAAAAGACAAAAGAGAGAGCAGCAATAGTTACCTTGTAAAGTCAACAAACTCCTCGCTCAAGACGGGGGCCCCTTTCACTAGGATCGCAAAGAACCAAGAGTTGAAAGAGTGGATGGGGAAGAGTGGATGGGAGAAATCAAATCGAGTACATAATCTTTAACATACCCTCGAGCATACTGCCCACAGAACCAGTGACCAGAGGAATATCACTCGTTGAGATCTTCGTACTTGCCTTTGGGTACGATATGTCAAACCTTCCAGATATCCCACAAGAAATAGCCATACCAGCGCATACCCGCGAAAAGACAATAATAATAATAATAATAATAATAATAATAATAATAATAATAATACTAACGGGAGAGCTTGCTCCATATGTCAACTTGATATGCAGGCTCCTTACTTCAATTCGCCGAATCTCCAGAAACCACAAGCCATTCACACTGCCACGTCTAGGAGGATACTAGGTCCGAGTACGCCAACATAGAGACAAATCCGAAAACAAAGATGAACCCCCCCTCTTCCCCGTCAACGCCACTGGCCTGGCCACTTATACCAGCAAGCATAGACCGGCCGCCGGCGTTCTCTGCGAGAGCACCACGACAGCGCAGACCCGAGATACCCCAATGTATGTAACCGGCTCCGTAAAAAGACAGGTTAGGCTCACCATTCAGTATATTTTTCAGGCGCCTGAATTCCGAGAATCCAACGATCTCCAGGTTCGTGTTTTACATGTATAGGCAGGGAAATCTTACGCGATGCATTCGAGCACAAACCCAGAGCTGGAAGATCCGGGAAGTCTAGATGTTTAATGGTTAAGAATAAACCCTTTCATGGGTCAAACCAAACACTAGGCTGATGGGATCAACTACTACTACCTACCTACCTACCTACAGCTAGAGAAACATCTAGGCCAAAATCCAGGACAAAGAAATCAGGCATTGGGCAACAGAGTAACACGGCAGGCAGGAACCAGTTCCGGGGGAATATATCAAGGAGAAAAAGATTCTTAATTTTGCCTAGATCACGCCCCTCCCCTTTTTATGCTCAGCGCAACACATGGGTAACTCTCCCCGTCGGAATCGTCCCGATTATACCTGAAGACGCCCGAATGGACCAGGAGAACCAACGCCGCCGAATAGTAAACTCCTCTAGCGAGTTATCGGCCGCACACAAAAAAATAAACGCTATGGAACAATCTGCAAGTATCATACCCAAAGACAAAAAGTCTACTGGTGCTGATGGAATCCTGGAAGTGGCGAGTGAGATATTATGACGAGGAATAGGAGTGGGCTCAGGGCTTCAGGGAAGACAAGACATGCAGGCATACCCGATGCACACGAATCCCATAATCTACCTTCCTCGGCATAACTCACGAGTATGCCAGATAGCTATGTGGCATATGAAGCTATCAAATCACCCCAATTCCCCAACACTAACCCAAACCGAAAAAACCAAGCTGGCGGCGCCAACCCAACGCGTGCTTGAGGCTCAAGCTCACGTGCCCGGAACCCAGATTTTGATTCCCGCGTTTCCAACCTATCAACACCCTAAAACTCCCACCAATACCAGTATACCCCTTGAACAGGGATAGCTACACGTAATGGTCCACAAAATACCCCCGAGTTACAACATTATCTCCGCCTACCGGTACACTCCTTCAAATCTCCAAATCTCCTAACCACACATTCGCTCGCCGATCTGTTCATTCCCGGTCGTTTATCATTCTATCCTTGCTAAGTCGGTCGAGTTTACAAGGAGCGAGAAGGGATATGTCAGTTAATTCACCCACGGTCACCTCCGAAGCCCTCCTGGCTGCAACCCTCTGTTTCAATCAAAAGTCCCCACCGCCGAAGCCCCCATCTAGCGCACTTACCGCCGCAACCAAGGCTACGCAAGTCAGGCCATCTATCAGGCCGAGCCTTGGGGGGAACGGACCGTTAATAGCTGTGGAACAAAGTGTCGCGAGGCGAAAACAGGAGAATACGGCTAGTCCCATGTCGCTCGACCCATCAATGGTCGCTGCAACGCTCGCAGCATCTCGGCATAGCGCTTCGCCGGGCAAGTCCTCAAGGGAGGTCATTTCTGTGGGGGCTCGGAGGAAACATTTTCAAGAGGAACCGTCGCAACCTCCTGACAGAGGTAGAGGAGGACTACATAAGATATCGCCGGAAAGGAGTCAGACGAATACCCCTGACGCCGCCGTTGATTCATCTCATATCGATGACATTTCTTCATTGAAGTCACTATTTGAGAAGGGCTCGAATGTGTCGAAGCCGGTTATACATGCCCCAAAACCAGTGCGAGGAATGGAGAGTCCTTCGTTGACGGCAGCAAAATTAGCTACACAGCTCTCCCCTTCTGCTTGCGCTTCTGCACAGAGCTCCAGGAGAGGTAGCCCTGTGCACAAGGTGCCCAATAGGGCCTCCCCTTCGAGAAGGGATGCTGCGGGGAAGCTTAGTTCCCCGGAAATTGTGCCAAAGCTATCACCTCCTCCGCCTTCACGTGGGTCTACAGTATCCCTTGTTTCTATGGAGAGCGATCAGCCTAGATCCTCAGTGGATAATGGCAATGCAAATGCGCTTTTGGCTGCTACATTAGCCTCAAGCCCTAAACCACCAGATAGACTGCGGCCCCCGCAACCGCCTCCACCACGAAGAAAGGAGACCAAGAAGGAACCCCGGGTAGTGGTTCGTGAAACTTCTCACGAGTCAGAGGATAGATCTCATGTCGACTCCGACTCCGACTCCGGTTCACGATATGGCACCGCTCGAACATCAATGAGTATCAAAGCCAGCAGAACCAATGCTTCCGCCATTTCCCTTCCACAATTGTTCACCCCCCCAGGGCCCCCGGCCCTCCCTCGACGTCCGTCAATCCCCCAACTAGAACCCGACTATCCGTCAGCCATGAAAGCAGCCCAAATATCACCAAGGGCTCACTCAGCATCCACTTCCCCATCCCGTCAATCACCTCCACGTCCAAGCCCTATCCCCCACCATCAGACCGGCGACTCTATCCTAGCAGCCTCCCTTGCCTCCTCCAGGGTCGTCTCCTCCTCCCCCCGAAAACCGCCTGCACCGCCCGCACCCCGTCGCCGCCGATCACTTCCTCCTCCACCAAAAAGTCTTCGCGAAACAATGCGCAAACCCAGAACACCACCCGAGGAGCCATCCCCTCACCGCAGAAACCCCCACCTCGTAAAGCACCCACACAAACACAGCGAAGGAGAGTGCAAACGCTGGCGACACTTTGTCACAGAGGCCGAACGGAAACGCTACGACGGTCTCTGGGCCGCCAACAAAGGTCTCCTGCTACCTACATCGGCACCTCCACCTCCCCCACCCCGTGGCAGAGCCACAGCCCGTAACTTCAATGATGAGCAGCACGAATGGAGCTCCGCTCCCACATATGCGGAGCCATTATCCGATTGCGTCCACTCGCTGATCGTGCGGGACATATGGCGGCGTGCTAGACTACCCGACGATCAGCTCGCTGAGATCTGGGAGCTCGTGGACCGGGAGGGAAACGCCAGGTTGAGTCGCGACGAGTTTATTGTCGGCACCTGGCTGGTGGATCAATGTCTCAAGGGTCGGAAACTGCCTGCTAGGGTGCAGGACGAGGTCTGGGAGAGCGTCAGGAGGTTGGGTGTAAAGTCTTCGGCTGGGAAGGAATGATCGATTGCGAGGAGTGGAGATGGGAGTGGAGGGAAGGGGAGGCGGGAGGAAGGAAGAAAGGAGCCGTGATACTGTACGTGGCACTAGTTGGCAAGACCTTGAGGTTAATCATTAATTGGCCCGAGGAGTTCTTTTCACCAAACAGTAGCCTTTCTTTCATGATTGAATAAACGAATAGATAAAAATAAATAATCAATCCGCATCTAGTGATCTAGGCCGTGGTGTTACTATTGTATCGGCAGTAGAACCCATGATAATAACAGTAAATTGCTCAGCTCTGAACCACCTGTTTTTGAGAAGCATCATCGGTATCGTACAAGAACCCCACAATCTGATGCCATCAAGGTACTACCCTCCGCACCAGTCCATACATAACATACATAAAGTCAAACAAAAAAAGGCCTCCTGATAAAATAAAACCCCAAGATAGAGTGTAGGAAAAATGATAAAAAAATAAAAAAATAAAAAAACCCCTCATTTTCTACTCCGAGAAGGATAAAATAAATAAATAAATAAATAAATAAATAAAAAACGATTCACCACAAACAACTTACAACCTTTTTCTCTTTAAAAAAAAAAAAAACATCTCAAAAATCCGAATCCATCGTCATACATATCCATCCGTCACACCTCTAACCGAAATGAAACCTCATCGCCCCTCCCTTTTCAGACAGTAGGAACGGCTATTATCACAGTTAAACATGAGAAGGAAGAAAATATAAATAAATAAAAAGGCAGATTATCCACAGACCCCACGATCGATGACCACCACCTCCCCTCCATGCCTGCCCTACCTCCATCACCTCTAACTAGCGCAAGTGGAGATAATGAACTATGAAATACGAAGGGGGAAAAAAGAAGAGAGAAACGACAATCTCGATCTTACAATATAAACTCACAGGGAAAGGGAAGAGAGAGGTAACGAGTCAGACTTGGCAGCACACGGCCACCAGTCCGGAGACGGGATCACAAGAAAAGAGAAGGCAATGGAAGGGGGAAGTGATAAGTTAAGTATGTCATGTGATGGCTAGTTGGGCTTGTGGGTTGTGGTTGTTGCTGTGATTTCCCCCCCCCGCGCGCGCAAAGGGAAAAGATTTATGTAATAAATGACGGTGGGGTGCAGGCCAAGGAAATTGAGTTGGAAAGTCTTTCTAAGGAAAAAAATAACATTCGGATTGGCGGTTTTTAGCGGGGGGGTAGTGAGATCTTGAAGAGGAAGCAGGTAGTATGGGAAGAAGATATGATACAAGATACAAAAGAAAGATTGAAAAGAAACGGTACCGGTACTGAATCTGGCAGATCCGTCATACCGAAGGAGTCAGATCGGAACGGCTAGGAAGGAAGTGAAAAGAAAAGAAAAGAGGGAGAAAAAAAAAACAAGAACCGGCGCTTTCCGCCCGCGTGCGAGCCTTGTGTTCTAGTCCGAATGAGGGGGAGAGTAAAGTCGGTGACTTTACTTAGTCATCATAGACACACACTGAGGCCTCCCAGCGACCGGGATCACCAACAGCTCTTAATCTGCAGGGTTGACGTGGCGGCAGCACAAGCCTCGCCTTCCCAGCAGCAGTGTCAGCCAGTTTCCCCCCTCGCCTCATGTTCATTTCCAGGACGATGACCCGGAGAAAATCTCCATTTTCGCGAACCTCCCTCGGCCTCGTCACGGGACTGCCGTTGGAATCGGGGGATGACGGCGAAGACGGTGAATGTTTGTTCTCTGTGAGGTCGGGTCGGTTGCTATGGTACGTTTGCATCTGAACAGCCCCGGTGCATGGCATGTCCGGGACCGGATTGGTCGGGTTAAGGTATCGGCGGAGAGCAGGTGTTGGGGTGTCCAATGTGGGTGCTGGTCGTTTCTCATCGGTGAATTGGGGGGTTATCGACAAGATGCTACGGGTAAGATAGTCATCGGGCTGAATGAGTGGTGCCGATACCGAGATGGACGAGAAGCTTCGAGCAGCCGACTTAAGCACACGGATGGAGGCTGTCAAATTTGATTTGAAGTTCAAGCGACGGGTTATCCTTTTCAGCGCATCTTCGGAAAAGAAACCGATTTCCGGCTCGAGGGTTGGCACATTCGAGACATCGTCATCAGAATCCCACATGAGAGGATGGTCATCTTGGGAGTCTTCTGGCGGTGATGAAAGCCCACGAAATCTAGGGTCCCCCCCTGAGCGTCGTCGTAACAACGGTGATGAAGAAACACTGTTCCATGAGAATGTTGATTCGTCATCGTTGTCTAGCGATGGAACGGACTCGCTTGAGCTCGACCTAAGTGACAACTGACTGTCACTTGGTGATTTCTCGAGTGGAGAGCTCTCATAATGCTCCCCCTCAGGAGGACCCAAAAGAACAGATAGTACTGATCGTGTTGAATCTCGTGATGGGTCTCGTGATAATTCCACCGACTCCGGAGCCAGACTGTCTTCTTCCTCCAGTGCGTCGTCAAAGGAAGGTGGAGGGTGAGATGGTGTTGGCGGCTCAACAAAGATATCCAAAGCGCTTTTTTGCTCTTGCAAAATTCTTTTTCTAGATCCTGGGGGTGGAATAGCTGTTACAGCTAATAATGCCGCTACTGCTGGTGGAATTCCGGCATGCCGTTGTGCGCACTGTTTCTCCCTAGCGATTCCCGAGCACTTGGTTGGGATAATCATGGGCCTGGAAGAAGCCAAGGACAACAACTTTTTCGAGGAAGGTCTTAACGTAATACTAGTATCCATTTTCTCGCAGATAGCAGTTATATTATTGTGGTTGAAGTGATGGCGAAGCAATAGATTAGATTCGGTGAACAAACTCGGTGGTGGGTGGAAGGAGGGTTGTGAGGTTGCGATAGCTGTGGTGGTAGAGGTTGTGGTGGTAGAAGGAGAGGCAGCTCGCGGAAGGTGATCCATCTTCGGAGAAGGGCGGATAGATGGGCTTAGATATCGGAAAGCTCGGGGGTGGTTGGCCCTTGGTATCTGGTTGCTGGGGCTGGGATCCTGCTTACAACCAGCTTTGATAGGGTAGAGTTGTAATGGAGAATGAAACAGCAGCTGAGTGTCGCCCTGACGCAAGTTTGTTGGGGTCTGGGGCCGTTCCCTTCACTTTTCGATTTCCCTGTCCTGTTCACTCACACTCTCTCACACACACGCGCTTCCTTCCAGGCTTCAACTAGTCTGAGTGTAGAAGTGAAGCTCGTGACCGAATAATCAGTTTCGGGCGTGCACAGATAACACAAGTGTCGAGGTGTCAAGGTCCCACGTTGAGATCAAAAAAGGGCAAGAACGGCAGCCGGCCCGAACCAGGTAAGAGTGGAGTGACCGGAAATGTTCGCCCGTCTATGTATCTGTCTGAGCTGGTTGAAGGCAACAGTAATAGGAGCGATTCACTGGCATAAGGGATAAAAGGACAGGAGGCAATCAATCAGTCGAAAGGAGTAAAGAGGGTAGGCACGGGAGGCTTTTTCTATGCTAACGGGTAACAGTGGGAAAGGATAGTAAATTTTAGGGAAAGGGGAAAGGAAGCGTTGTATGCAAGCTCTCTTTGCTTGATTGATAGCAGACGGCGCACGCTATGAGTGAGTGGCCCCCCGACACACCTCTAAATGGGTAAAATATATCGGACGACAGATAGGTTCGTCACCTTAGCTATTGGAGATGGTGTGAGGGTGAGGTGAGAGAATAGGTAGTAGGGTAGTGTGTGGATGGATGGCTGAGTATCTCTATGGATGTACTTGAGCACCAGTGCTGGAGGATGTATGGGGGGGGATGATTGACTCGCAGCAGGAAGCAAGCAGGGACAGAGGGTGATAGATAAGTAACCACTCCGGGGGAAGGGGGGGGGGAGGACAGAGCAGAGTATGATGGGCTTGGGGAGGAAGGATTGTTGGCTGGCTGGCTGGCTGGCGGGCGGGCTGGTTTATTTGTCTGGCCAGGCAATGGATTAGAAACAAACTGTTGCCTCTTCCTCTCGCGAGAACAGGGCTATTCCGAGGCAAGGAACGTAGAGAAACCGCAAGAGAGAGAGGACCAGGGGTTGAAGTGCTACTCTTCACACAAATCCCCTACAATTCGTGAATACATGTATTCTACTAGTATCATACTTGTACCAGGATACTAACAAATTGGAACCTCTGCAAGACATTTTTAGACATGCGAACTTTGTAGTACGTAACTGACTACGAGTAGTACCGGTAGCTTTGTGGGCAAGAAAAAGAAAGCAAAGCGATAGAGAGAAAAAACAAACACACAGCACATTCGCTCGAGGAGATTATGAGGTAAAAGCAAATAAAAGAACTTCATCTCTCTGCTCTCCCTTTCTACTCGAGTATGCTGGCTCTTGTTTGCCTTGCCCACCTGCTTTTCTCTACTGGGAAAGGTCTCGGAATACTCAATGAGGTATGATGTGAATCCGTTCTACATCTCACCGGTCGTAGGATCAATCCCTCCTCGATGCGGTAAAGTTATGGGAGAGATAGGGATTCAGTTGTTGTGACACTGTAACCTTGTGGTTTCCCAAAGCGGTACACGTCTTTTCCTTTCTTTCTTCACCTACCCTGAACTCCTGCCTGACAAGAATAGAATTGATCCCACCCGGAGAGCTACCGATTCCAATCCCAATCAACCTCTTTCACCATCTTCCATAAGCGGTCAAATACTCATCAGTCGGGGAACGGCGAAATTTCTCGAGAGCTTAACCGATTGAACCGATATGCCCTCCTGTCAAAGGGGCAGGACAATTACTGGCGGAGATACAATGTACAAAGTAGCGCATCGAAGAGCCACGATTAGTAAAGGTCCACAGGATAAAACCGTCATAACCCCGAGCATCCAGTTTACGGGCCTAAGTGACTCTGGAGTATGTACCGGAAGTAACTTCTCCCCGCCCTAGCAGGGCAGTTAAAAGAGAGAGGGCCAAAAACAATGAAAAGGGATCAACTCAGCGACCCAATGACGATGACAACAAGCCCACCTGATATGCAGAGTGGGGGGGTTTTTTTCTTGTGAAAGGAAAAAAGCAGGGCGGTGGAAAAGAAAGCAGGAGGAAGGGGGCAGGGGAAAAAAAAAAAACATCCCACGGCACACACCAGAGAGGAAAGAGCACGCCGGTTGCTGATCTCTCCAGAGGTAACCCACCCAATCAAACCCGATTTCTGCATGCTTATCAGTTATTCGCTATCTGGTCGGTCTTTCACGCATTCACAACGTGAGCTTGACCTACAGCAGATTACTCTGGGCCCTTTGTCCAAATTATGTAGGCAAAATTCCCTTCGAGAAGATTTCCGTAGTGGTGGTGTGGTACATATAATTGGAACCATGCCGGTGGGTGTAGCGATGTACCGTACTCGAGTACCGTACCGTAGTAGGTATGGATGTCATACATCGCCCCAAGAGCCGGTTGTTGTCATTGTCCACTAGGTAATTTTCGGAGACGATTGGTACCTTTGAACATCTCACGACTCTCAACTCTGCCAATCCACCAGGCCAACTGTTTAGCACCCTTCTTTCTAGCCTCTCTACCTCTGGGATCCGAAGGACATTGGTCAATCTTTCGCTGTCGAGAGAAGATCGGAGTGACGCCCATTGCCGGAAGTTGGGTGGCGGCGTTGGAGTGGGGCGCGGAAAAGTGGGTATCATAGAGTGGGAGAAGCCACAGATAAGGATGACGGGGCACGGGGATTACCACCGGTATGGTACCGGTAGTATTGGTAGGGTGAGAGGAGGCGAAAGGGGGAGAGGGAAATGCTGCCATGGCAAGGAATTCCTATGCTTCTGCAATTTCCGCGCAAAGACCACCGACGCGAGAAGTGTGCGGTACTTGTCCCGGCCATGTAGTGCCCGAAAACAGGGGTAAGAGAAATATAATATGGTGAAAACTCTGTGTACGGTACTTATCTGTATGTTGTATAAGGGCCAATACGGGTACAAAATATACCTCCCCTCTTTTCGGATACTACTTGTCCTGTACTTGCCCGGGACAGCTACTACTCGGTGCTCGAGTACATAGTCTACAGCCTACCGGTACCTCACACCATCATCCAATATGAAAAAGCGTTATCATGGCACCGGTACCAGACAACAGGATGGTTTCCGCACTTCATCCAAAAGCCTTGCCAGCGCAGATTGCAATGGCGCCTCTCGTGCCAACTCCTTCTCGCGTAGCTAACTCGCCAGCGTCATAGTGAGGCGAGACACCGCTTACTCGCTCCTGCCAACCACAGCTCGAGTAGAGGCGCAAAATAAACATCTCCATATTACTCGAAAGGAAAAAAGCAATGTCCCGAGAGAATCTGACGACAGCATTGATTTTACTCATTGCGGGGGGAGAAGAGAAACGAAACAAATCATTTCTATTCGGGCGAGTGGGGGAGAGCCAATTAACTGTGCCGGGGTTTCTCCCTCTTACCGGTACTTGTACTTTCTTTTTTCCTTTTTCCTTTCATTTTTTTCCTCTTTCACGCCTTTTTCACCTCGGATAAAAAAGGAAATGCGTTGAAGTTAGTCCCGTTTGAGATGCACGTGGGGTTGAAAATTCCAAAATGGTCCTGCTTTTGCAAAAGGAAGGAACCGGGTCTGGGGATTGTTTTGCTGGTTGGTTGGTTGGCACAGGTTAGGCAGGCAGCGGGGTGGGGCGGATGTTTTCCGTTTCCCCCGCATTATGTGGAGGGGATCTCAGCACAGGGCGCTTGGAAAAAAGCCTTCCACGGACAAGAGAGCCTCTGTGACAATACTCGAGTATCAGTATGGGTGGTACAGGACGGTACTCGAGTGCGATTACTCGTACTGTACTGTACGGGTACTCGGGTACTTTGACCGGGGTGTTTTGTAATACTGTGCGATTACGAGTGTCATAATATTATTAAATAAGGTACCGCTCTGGTATGATATTTGCGCGAGAACGAGAAGCTGTTGGACTGAGCACCGCGGTGAGAGGAGGGGGTAAAAGATCTCTTTGGAAAGTGAGAGTGGGGAAGCGTTTAGTGATTGGGCCATGGCTTAATGAGCGTAAGCGTTTACGGTGGGGGGAAAAACTTTTTTTCAAATTCCTTGTTCGTGCGTGCTTTAAGGTACGACCGCTCATGGTGGACTCTATCCCAGGCTGCTGAACCAGTACGAGTATCATACTCTACCCTACATACGTCATCCCGGGCATATCTCTCAAGAATGGACAACGTTTGCACAAGAAGGGAGGACAAATTCTTTTTTTCTGCGCCTTCCCTGTCTAAACTCGGGACGCCGAGGCGTTCACCATAGCCAAGAGCACGGAAATACCATACGTATATATGCCTCAATTTTCCATGGGGATAAAATGAACTCCCACCACGAGCCAGGGACATTTGTTTTGTTTATTTCCCGTGAGAAGCCTATAAATGTGCGCACTCAAAATCCAATCATGTTTAGCGGTTCGAATTATGGAGGGGTTTTTTCATCCTAAAGACAATGCAGGTATGTCGCAACTGGTGCGTGCACCACAGTTAAATTTACCTTTTCTGCGCGACAAACCTTCTCCTCTTCCTCCTCCTCCTCCTACTGTTCGCCGCCAGAAGGCCAGGCATATACTGGTGCGTTCACCAGGAACACGGGTTGCGCAGGAACATGCTTCGGGCAAACAGCCTCAAATCCTACATTATGCACAATCCCCCTCCATTGCGCTACCATAATGCTTTTTTTTTTTTTTTTTTTTTTTTGAAATGTACTGTACTCGAGTACAGTATTCCTTCACCTTTCCCTTTTTCCTCTACAGTATTTCCTTTTCTCCCTTGCATGAAGTGCTGTACCGCTAAGTATGTAAGGTGCAACCAACCAAACGCCCAAATTCTCAAAATACCTAGATAAACGAAAGACCTCGCCCCACCGGGCCTAAACAAAATTATATCGAACTGGCCTTACCCTCCTCACTCGTTCACATAGAGCTGCAGTAGCAGATTCGCTGCACGTAGTGACACCAATTCCCGTAAATCCCAAGATTCTCTTTCCTTTTTCCCTCTCTTTTCTTTGTTTTTCGCACCATTATGGTTCCTGTGAAGGAGCCCCATATTCAACAGCCTTACGAAAATCCGCCTTCGCGGGTCAATATCAGCTGATGTCCATTCCGTCCCTTGAAGGAAAACACAAACCAGGGCGGGGCACGTTACTCTACATGAACAATGTCTAGCACAGTGGGGAAATTATTTGTTATATATGCCGCCAAACCCGGGAGCACCGCTGTGATACCGTAGCACTCGACCCTGAGGAGGAGGGAAAAAGGAAAGAAGGAGGATTGTGTCATTGCGGACCATTACGTCCGGTCCGGATTCCATCTCCACCTTCAACCCAGACCTGTTTCCAACCAACCGAACCTACGAGTAGCGCGGCGAACCGTTTTTTATATTGCGGGGTGATGCGCGTTCACCTACTTGTCCTGTCTCAGAAGCTTATTGTTACATCTCTCGGCGGCGGGGAGAGCGGAGGTAGGGGGATTGGAAATTGGCGCATTTGGAGGACGTTGATATGGGCGATTGAGAATACTTTTTGATTACACAACTTACCCAAGGCAAGTAAATTGATCTTCTACCTACTATAATGTTATCATGGATGGAGCATCTTTGCGCGATTAGGGGGCGAGTGAGGATGTGTGATGGCGTAAGAGGAGATAAGATGACTGCGGGGTTGGAAGGAGATGAGTAAGGGGCATTAGGGTGATATGCTAATGTCTGTGCTTGTTAGGGTTCGTGGTTACGGTTGATTTCGCTATTAGGATTTTCTATCATATCATACAATCATAACGTCGACGATTGCATCTTGGGCGCCTACGAGAGTTCTCGCCAACGGGGGTGCTTGGACGCAGCACGACCACGAGAAACAACTAGGAGAGGCTACGCAGCGATTCC